GGGTGATAGTGGCAACTACTGTCAATTAGAAGTTTCAAGTTTAAGTCTTTAAGTTGTGTGTTGTTTTAAAGTTTACTTCAAAAATAGACTAACATCTTGGTTAAAGTCAGAAAGAATAAAATAGCTGATATTGTCTTAGAAAAATTAATAATCCTTTAAAGTCCTACATTTCTTCTCAGGCCAAGAGTCAGTGACCTCGTTTGCTTACATTAAAATGTCATTATGTTTTATGATTTTACTCTTTATCTTCTGTTTTCTCTTGGACAAAGTGTTTTAAGATCAGGACAATATCTGTTTAGATGTAATCATTCTTGTTGCTGTTTATCAAACATCATTCTCTCCTTGGCCCAGTTTTGTCTGTTTGGATAACATACTGTATAAATGCGTGTATTTGAAACTGCCTCAGTGCACACATTTTGTACCACTGCCCTGTGTGACATGATGTGTGTCTTGCAATTGTAATAAATCCTGATTGACCATTTCACGGAGTACTTTTTATTCTTGGATCTTGTGTTTCTGTCTAGGTAAAATAAAGATTTCCACAACAATCTTGGCTTCACAAAATTTTCCACGCTGGAGCTCCATGGGCCGAGACCAGAGGATCTCTTTCAGATAAGTGAGTGAATGAGGAGCTGATAGTCTGGACTTGGACCGTGACTCCATGCTGGATAAAATAACCTTTGGTCTGGCTGAGACATGGTGAGCTAAACTTTATTGTATTAATACCAAAATTATATCTAATGCGGTACACTGAATAAGAAATTCAAATTTTTATTTCCACACCCTCTGACTCTGGTGGGTTTTTTCAGGCTAGCTGAGGCCCGTAGATGGAACAGTCAGACTGTCCAGGCTAGATTGAGTTTATGAAAGGAATTCAGTTTCTCAGGGACTTTAGCTTAATTGCTAGGTCTCTGGATCGCCTGGCTCAAAGGGCGAGAGCTTTTGTGGAGTTCTGTCCAGGGTATTGAGAGGACGGCCGTCCAGCAACTTTGTGAAAGTTGTTCATTTCCATTGTTAGGCACGGCAGGAAATGGGGCAGAATGAGAGAGTCACTAAGCCACAGGAGAAAGGAAGGCATGCGTTGAGGCAATGTTAAAACAGTACGAGCCTGAAGCCTTATAATGGCCTCCGTGAGTGGTCAATTTGTTGTCTCCCCTGTAGTAAGTGTTGTCTTAATCAAATCTACC